CTCAATGCTTATCTTTTGTGGACATATTCTTCAAATTGCATAATGCAGTAAAGTATCAATCAGTTAATACACATAAAAAGTCTTGAGGGTACACAGCAGCTTGAACGCTCAGAAATAACCAAAAACCATAAATTGGAACTTCCTCATGCCCGGAACTACCCTAACTACCATAGTACAGTATACTATGGTTGTTAGGGATAAGATCACGCCGGGATAGGTCACTTTTCCTCTAAATAATTGATTTACCGCGATCCACGCATTCTGCGGTCCTGTGCTTTGGTAGACAAATTGAATCAATAGTATTCTTCATGCCTGTCTACTAAAAGTAGGGATTTCTGTGTGATAATACACATTGTAGACAATAAGTATCCATAGCCCAGGTGTGACTTTGAATCAAAATGCCAGGAACAGTAGGACACTCTGTTCAAACTGTACATAAAAATTGATGGTAATGTTATATAGGTACCTAAGAGTTATTACCCCAAATCCAAAGGCAATTGGAGGTTCATTGACTCTGCAATGAATGAACAAAGATGAGGTGCCCTTTGACGTGACAATTGTACATTGCCATTGACTGGCAGTGCAAAGTGAAGTGCCATCCTTCCTCAGCTCAAGCAAAGCTCACCAATGAACATACCCAAGTATCTCCATACAGGTTTAATCAAGCCGTGGAAGATCTCTGATGAGGTTGAAGCACATATTCAACAGGCTAAAAATGCTTTATGAATCCAAAATATACAGTAGCACAGGCAGCAAGGAATTTTGGTGTCGAGGCCCATTACAAAGTTCTCTGAAAAGGCTCAAAGGAGTTCAGCCAAAGAAGAAAGCTCATGAAAAGGAAATGCTGCTTACCAAAGCAGAAAAGAAGGTACTGGTTGACTGGATCCAGTTTCTTGGTCTTGCTGGGATTCCAGTCAGTAAATGGACTCTTCGACCTAAAATCAAGGCTATCATGGATGCCAAAGGGTTGACCATAACCAAACAAAGTGTTTCCCCAACCTGGATTTGGACATTTCTCAAAGAGCATCAAGATGTCCTTAAAACAGCCCAACGTTCTGCATTAAATCTGAAGTGCTACACAGGCATTCAACTCTACAACAGTGAATGAATACTTTTGGGAGCTTGATTGGGTGCTTCAAGAGAGTGGCATACCTTGGGAACATGTCTATAACATGGATGAAAAGGGGGTTCAGATGGGAGGAGGGCAGAAGAACTTGCAACAAAGGTTTTTCTATTCACAAAGCAATAGGAAGATGTACTGACAACACAGTGATGATCTTCAGCTTGTAATGATTATTGACTGTGTATGTGTTATAGGTGTGCCTCCGAGACTTCGATTGTTGATCGGTGCTTTGATTGCCTGAAGTTGACTTAGTATGTTTTATCTTTCATTCAGTTCTCAATCGAACCTCACAAAGTATTTGAACTATTGGATATGAGTGATTACTACTTTATTGTTCTTTAATTGTCTTTTATTTCTATTACTGGGAACTATCCGGATTGTTATCACTTTTACTTTGGACTCTTATTATCTTAGTTTTAACAATTAGGATACAAGGTATAAAAGCTGTAGTATCTAGTAGTTAGTTCTTCAGTTTAAATATCAACTTAGATTGTTGCTGAACTCCATCCAGATCTTCATCTCCCTTCATCATTGTTTGCATTATAACCAAACAATCTCCAGACATCTTCTTAACCTTTCCTCGTTGTCTTGAACATTCATGGAACCATACGACAAAGTGAGGGCACTACTGATAGTGGTGCTAAGGTTCTAGTTCACCCCTTTATACTTTCCGTATGATGACTAATGATCTTCGATCATTGTTCGTGATCTCAATCAAGAACGAACCCATTGAACTCAACTATCCTAAACTCCTATTCCCTAAGACCCTACGGAACTTCACCGGCATGGTCTTAACACTATATTCATCTTTGCACCTCACTGGGACACCCAGATAGTGTGTAGGGAGTGCTGCTAATAGCTTCACTGAAGTCCCTTACTTCCAAAGGACTGTGTAGCCTTCCATTGTGTCATAACCATAGTTCCCATGCTTTGGACCTTTGCACATCACTCCAGAGCATCAGAAGACCAACCTCATTCTTTACAGCTGCACAACCTTAACACATTTATCCAAGATTCCCATGCTCTTATTGTCTCTTATTCCGCCTTGGGAAAAACATTTACATTGCTTATTATTCTTTTTATTCTTTTATCAACAATTAGGCAATTTAGTACTTACGCAGACTGTTCAGTTGTTAGTTTAGTTCTCCAGCTTGAAATAAAAAAAAGTTACTTTCCTCCTTTAAAGTTTATCCTCATCCTTATTACAAATAATCTCAGCTGGATCAGCCATATGGATCAATCAACACTCCAGAATCATTTCTTATTTTCATATTCCACTGGGACACCCAGATAGCATAGCATGTAGGGAGGAGCATTGTCAAAAGCACCACTAAAGTCCCACATCACTTCCCAAGGCCATGTAGCCTTTCCATTATTCCCTGTGCCATATCTAACTTGGTTTCCATTTCCAAGCCTCAGAACTTCATTCGGAGTGCCAGAACCTCGGCCATATCCTTTCCAGTTGCATGCCCTGGTTGAACCTATCCCTATCCCCTTGTTTCGGCTCAGTCACTTCCCAACCCCAACACCTGCAAGAGCTAAAAGATCTCACTATATATAGAATATAAATAGAATAAATAGAATATAAATAGAATAAATAGAATATAAATAGAATATAAATAGGATATAAATAGAATATAAATAGGATATAAATGGAGGTTAACCATTTTTTGAGTTTTGAGTGCTGTGAATCACACTGTCTAACTCAAATCACACTGTCTAACTCAAATCACACTGGCTACTCAAATCACACTAGCTACTCAGATTTTCTTAAACTGATAGATAAGATAAGATAAGATATTCAAATTCATATTCATGTTCATATTCATATTCATATTCATATTCAAATTCATATTCAAATTCATATTCATAAAGTTATTAGTTATTAGTTATTAGTTATTAGTTATTAGTGATTTTATTTTGTGGAAATGATATTATTATTATCCCTAGTAATAACTATGAACTATGAACTATGAACTATGAACTATGGTATAGATAGATTATACAGTGGAAAAGTCAAGAGATGGTGGATATGAGGTAAAGGGAAAGGAAAGTTAAAGGGAAAGGGAAAGGGAAAGGGAAAGGGAGAGGGAGAGGTAAAGGTAGAGGTAAGGAAAGGTAAGGTAAGGTGATGGTGACAAGTTGTTCATTTTGGGAGGGAGGAACCTTCTTCTTTAATTTTGTTTTGGTCTGCAACCCAAAATAAATTTTTAAAAAACCAAAACCAAAACCAAAAATCGAAAAATCGAAAAAAAGGAAATGACCACCGCAGGGGTCGAACCTGCAATCTCCTGATTCGTCTACATATATATATATATGTACTTGATTCGTAGTCAGACGCGATGCCATTTCGCCAGGCGGCCTATACCTTACCCTTTTCTCAATTTGTTATTTCCTCGGCTGTTCTCTTATTGAATTACTTACTTAGTTGTTTTCATTTGACTTCGTCACTCGTCACTCGTCACTCGTTACTTGTTACTTCTCGGTGTCACTCGTCACTTGTCAATTTCACTTTTCTCCGTCTCACATATCTCCATATCTCCATATCTCCTTCCCCTCGCCTCCTCGGCTCCTAAATCCCAATCCCAATCCCAATCCCAGTCCCACCAGTCCCACAGCCAAAAGTCTCCTCGACTCCTCCGTCCAAAATTGCCAAACCATGGTCCGAAAACTCAAACACCACGAAGGAAAGCTTCTCAAAAAAGTCGATTTTCTAAATGTACGTTTCTCTCCTCCTCCTTCCTCTTCCTCCTCCTTTTCCTCCTTCCCTCTCTCCTCTTTCCCATCTCCTCCTCCCTCTCTTCCTCTCCCTATATCTCCCTCACTCCCTCGCTCCCTCGCTCACTCGCTCCTAGTGGAAACAAGACTCCAACCTCCGTCAAATCAAAGTAATGCGCCGATATCATATTCAAAACAGGGAGGATTATCAAAAGTGATTTAGTCTTTTGTTTTTTGTTTTCTCTTCTCCACTTCTCCTTTCCCCTACTTCTCCTTCCCCTCCCCTTCCCCAACCGTTCCCCGTTCTGATTCAAACTCCTCCCCTTCCCCTTCCCCTCCCTCCCTCCCTTCCCCTCCCTTCCCACAGATACAACACCCTAATCGGCCACCTCCAAACCCTAATCACCCACCTCTCCCTCCTCCCCCCTCTCTCCCCCTTCCGCACCTCTCTAGAATCTCAGATCTTATCAAAGTTGTACGATGTTGGGGTTCTTCCTTCGCCTTCGCCCTCAGCTGCGAAACTCTCAGACATCCGCAAACTCACCGTTTCCGCGTTTTGTAGACGCCGGTTGGGGGTTGTCATGTGTCAGCGAGGCTTAGGAAAAGATGGAAAAGGAAAAGGTGGGGGGGGAGGGGGTGGATTAGGAATGGCGGAAAGCGTAAGCTCCGCGACGAGGTTCGTGGAACAAGGACATGTCAGAGTAGGTACGGAGGTGGTTAGGGATCCGGCGTATTTGGTTACTAGGTTTGTTTTGGGGTTTTTTATCCTTCTGCTTTGGTTTGGTTCTTTTTTTGGTGTTCTTTGGGTGTTTGGTTTTTTTGTTTGGTTTTACATTTTGGGTAGACGCTGACTCGACTCGACTTGTTTTGTGTTGATAGAAGAATGGAAGACTTCGTTACGTGGGTTGATACGTCCAAGATGAAGAGGACGGTTATGAGATATAACGATGAGGTGTGTTTTTTACTTATCTTTTCTTTTCTTACTTTACTTATTACTTTGATTTCCTATAGCTGGACGACTTTGATTTACTCTAATCACATCCCACGACTTCATGCTCATCTCAATATCCCATCAAGTCTATCCCAATAGACCAATAACCCAATAGGCACGAAGGGACGATGAAACGATGGATCGATGGTCCATGGATCGACAATCCCGGCATTGTCGTTAGTGAGCTTGGTACCAGAAGCGAAGCGAACAGCGAACAGCGAGCGGGGAGAGTTATACGAAAAGAGCGAAAACGGAGAGAGGTAGACGTAGGACGTAGGACGTAAGACGTAGAGTGAGACATTTTTTTAAAAAATACCTCATAAAATCAATGATCCACTAGTACTATCGATGAAACGACCGACGCTAACAGGTTGGATTTCCCGCTCCTTTCCGAGTCCTACTGTTCTTTCCAAGTCCTACTTCTCTTTGCGAGTCCTACTTCTCTTTCCGAGTCCTACTTTTCTTTGCGAGTCCTACTTCTCTTTCCAAGTCCTAACTTGTCTTTCCGAGTCCTTTCCGGGTCCTCGTTTCGAGCTATGTAAATGGTGAAACCAGCTGAAACCTCTCTTTTGTCTTTTGTCCCCGTCCTGTCAACGTCTTCGCCTATCTCTTCTGTCAACGCCTTTATGTCAACGTCTTCGCCTATGTCCCTGTCCTGTCAACGTCTATCACAATCCGACACCGATAGATCATTATCATACAATAAATACAATAAATACCTCTCTTCTCTCCCCTCCCTCCCCTCTTCTCCCTCTTCTCCCTCTCTACCTACTTCTCCCTCCCTTCCCTCATCCCTCTCTTCTCTCTTCTCTCCTCCTCCATCCAATGCAAAACACTTCGATGAACTTGGTAAAAACAAACCGGGTAAAAACAAACCCAGACCGTCGACACCTACCTCCGGGATGGAAAGAGACATACAACGCTCAGTGCGTATTCGTTTGTGTTTCTTATCCCATTCTATTCCATTTATTAATCGTGATTCGATCTATCAGGAAAGATACATGGTGAGTCCCACTCCCCTTCCCTAATCCCTCTCTTCCCTCCCTCATCCTTCCTCCTTCCCTCATTCATTCTCAACCCCTTATTCATCCTCAACCCCTTATTCATCCCTAATCCCTAACTCCTTCACTCCCCCAGGTACTACACCCAAACAACCACCTCCCCCCCTCGCGTATCGTATTTCCATCCCTCGGTTGAGTGTTTTCCTGGGAGTGCTGCCGGGGTTGGGGTTGGGTATGGGGGTGGTGAGGATCCTATAGGTGGGAGTGGGGATGGGAGTGGGAGTAGGGGTGGAAGGGAGAAGGAGAAAGAGGGGAAGGGGCAGGGAGGGAGTAAATCACCCCAATCCCAAGTCCAAGTCCAAGTCCAAGTCCCTGCTTCACAATCATCGAAATCATCTTCGAATCCGACAAATCCTTCTTATCCCTCTTCCTCTTCCTCTTCTTATCCCTCTTCCTCTTCCTCCTCTTCCTCTTCCACACCTACCCCCCCTTCTCCCCCTTCTCCCCCATCCGATCTCAATTCACCACCACCACCACAATACTCCGTTTACTCACCTTCCTCCGTATCCCTGTCTTTGTCCCTTGATTCGTCGTCGTCGGATCAATATAGCACGTCTACTCCCGGTCCCGATCCCACTTCCACACCTACATATACACCTGCATCTACTCCCGATCCCACACCTAACCCTCCTCCTTCCAACCCTCCCCCTCACGTACCACACCCAGACGTACCACACCCAGAGCACACCATCTCCCCTGTATCTCCACCAGGACATTTCTCGAACGTTCCAAATTCCCGGATAGGCAACCCTCGCGTGAGTCTATCTACGAATTCCCCCACGGGTCTCCCTACGAGTTTCCCTACGACTCCCCCTGCGAGTCTCCCTACGACTCCTTCCACGAGTCACGGGGTACATACGGCACATAGCGTTCATAATGTCCACAGCGTTCATGGTGTCCCCGGTGTCCCCGGTGTCCACGGCGTCCACGGTCCACACAGGACGAATGAAGCAGGAAAGGGAATGACGTTGGCGCAAAGGTTGTATGCGAGTGCTTTTGTTACTCTTCCTCCTCCTCCTCCTCCTCCTCCTCCTCCTACTTCTTCTACTCCCAATACCACTACCCCGTCTTCGTCTACTACTTCGTCTTCTTCTACTACTACTTCTTCTTATTCTTCTTCTTCTTCGTCTACTCCTCCTCCTCCTCGTCCTCCTCCTCTCTCTCATCCTCTCTCTCATCCTCTCCCCACCCCACCCACACCCTCCCACCCCTCGATAATCTCATCCGCGGCTGTCTCTGCAGAGGCTTATCATCATAACATTAACCACCCCAATTCCAATTTCAGCTTCAACAACTCGAAGTTCAACAACTCGAAGTTGAACCTCGATAACTCTAGTACCAGTACCAGTACTAACAAACTCGGGAACGGGATAGGGATAGGGAACGGGAACGGGACAAGTATAGGGAACGGGACAGGGACAGGGACAAGAATAGGAATAGGAATAAGACCCGACAACCGCAGACACTCTGAATCGTTTTATAAAACTGGGGTGTTGCAGAGTTTGCAACAATCACCACAACCTCGACCACAACCACAACAACTTCGACCTCAAGGATCACAAGGATCACAGGGAACACAGGGAACACAGGGAACACAGGGATTAGGTAGGTTTCCGTCCTATCAGACCCATCCTAGTGCTTCCAGTGGTTCCGGTGGTTCGAGTGGTTTGAGTGCTCCCGGTGGTACCGGTGGTTCGTCGAGACTGCAAACTCAGAAGATCAATAACATCAATAACATCAATAACATCGGGTATGGTGGAGGGTATGGTGGTAGTATTGGTGGTGGTACAGGAGTTCCACTAAAAGTCCCGGAACTCACGCTCGTTGCGCGTCCGCCGCCGCCGCCGTCGAGGGACGAGAGTTTGGAGAGTTTCGGGGGTTTCGGGGGTTTCGAGAGTCAGAGTGGGGGTTTCGAAAGTCAGAGTCTGGGTTTGAGTGGGAGTCAGAGTTTGAGTCAGAGTTTGAGTCAAGGATCAAGGTACGTAGGCTCACTCGCTACTCGCTAACCCCCTCGCTAACTCGTCATCGTCACTAACCTAAACTGTAGTCCGATCCCAGATCCAAATCCAAATCCGGCATCTCAAGTACATGTATCTCAAGTATCTACATCCCCTCAGACATCCATTCCATCAATACTACCCCAACCATCTCACTCCCAACCCCAACCTCACTCCCAACCTCACTTCACCTCCTCTCCTCCATCGTCACCTCCTTACCATTCCCATTCCCAATCCCCTCCCGCACCTTCCCAATCCCCTCCTTACCAATCCCAATCCCAACCCCAATCCCCTCCCTACCAATCGCAATCGCCACCCCACCGTCCTCCCCACCGTCCTCCCCACCGTCCTCCGCAACACCCATCATACACTCTACCAAATCTCCCTACGATCCCTACCAATCCTAACCATACCAACAATCATAACCCCCTCCCACAACACCCACATCACCCACATAGACCCTCTTCCCTCTCTTCCCTCCCCACCTCCTCCCACTCCTCCTCCTTCCCCACCTTCCCCACCTTTTCCTCCTCCCACTCCACAGGAGTAACCACAGGACCCCCAGGATCCACCTCCTCCTCCTCCACACCAGGACC